ACTTGGAATCTTATCCTTTACAACCCTCAACTGCCTTGTATCTGTTCTTTTATTTAAACTTGTTAAGTTGCTGGGCTAGCTACAGGCATAACCAGGCAAGCAAAAGGACTGGAGCCCAGCAACAGTCTCTCTCTCCCTAAATCTTTGCACGTGCTCTGCCAAGTTCTAGCAGAGTTGGGTTTCTGACATTATATAGATTAGACATGATAGTCCCTATGAAAGGGATACACTAGCATGTGCCAGTGAGGGAGCTTTCTACAAGCTTGAGGGCCAACTCCCTGTAATTTCCTTATCTGAGGCTTAAATTCAGCAATATTAAGACCTCTCTGCATGGTCAAGACTCCTCCATTTGCCCAGAAATGCCTCACATTTACCAGGTGCTGCAGTGGTTCAGGAGGTTACACTTCACCTGGAACTAGTCTCCCTCTCTCTTCTGGAAGCACAGCTGATATTTTTAGGGAAAACTTTCATGTGTCTCCACAGAATAGCATGAAAAGTCTGTTCCCACTCAAGATGTGCTCTTTCAGTAGCACCTGCAAGCATGCAGAGCCATCTGACTACCCTTTGACTCTTTTTTTCCCCCTCCCTAAATCAAGGGAATCCAAGTTCAGTGTTTCTGAGCAAGCAACTGGGATTGCAAACAGCCCCCTACCCTCCCCAAAGTACTTCTGCATGTAGGCAAGACACGAGCCTGTAAGGAATCACACACCGCTACCTTGTCTGGGTAACACATTTCAGTTTGAGCTCGTAAGTACTCAGAAACACAAGAAATTCCCTGTTGCCTTGTTTCTAACACTGGAACATTTTTCTGCTTAACCCATTACTTCCACTATTAAACTACTTTGTCTACTGTCAGAACTGCACTAATATCACCAGGGTGAACTCGAGAGACACACTCAAGAGCTTTCCACTTCCAGGCCCATTTCCACAAGGCATAAATCCTGGATCACCTACTGGCATCCCAGATTCCTCTGGTACAAGCAATATATAATTAATAAACAAAGATGATTACCCTAGATCATCAGGGAGGGGAGCAGGGAGGAGGAAACAACAAAAAAGCCCATCTTTATGAGCTTCCCTGTACCACACTTTGGATACTGAAGCAGCAGTGTTTTCTCATAAGAATCTTACAGGTTGGTTAAATTAGCACACTCAACTTCACCTTGATAGTCTTAAACATTTGGGCAATATTTAAAACACACAATTAAAAAAAAAAAAATCCACAAAATAAACTTATCTCACTTTACATTTGAGTCTTACAACCTCAAGTGAAAGCTGCGTGCCACCAACACGCATTTTTTCCAAGGTAGAGAACTGCACCTTCCACGTGCAAAGCTTACCAGGTAGGTCAGATGAGCACCACTCGCCCTGCTTCACACACCCCAGCAGCGGCTGCCGCCATCCCCACACAGCTGCTTCAGTCTTCTGGCCATAAAGCTCTCTGCTTCTACACCTCCTGGTGCATCAACAGCCGCAGCAAGAAGCTTAACACAGCATCACCAGTCTTCAGGCTGACTTTACTCTTCTTCTCAAGACTGGCTTCCATTAAGGGTGCTTATTTGACTTGTACCCAGAAGTCTGTTCTTCCCATCTAGAAAAGACGTCATGCAGCTGTAGGCTCTGTTAAATAACTCGTTACAGCTAGATTTCAGTCACCTGTTCTTATCCCAGGCAACTTCAGCAGTGCCTCCTCTTTTGCCTCCTGCTGCCCTGGTTTTACCAACTGAAAGCAGTGTAGGGCAGGGTGGATTGAACCCCATGGGTGTTTTATAGAGTCATCACAAGAGTTACGATGTTTGTACACTGTATTCATGCAGGAAAGGAACGCTTATGCTAGGCTCAGGCATGCTGGGCACTGCTGGCCTCCATCTTCAGAAAAAGAGCCAAAAAGCAAATAGATGCACTTCTAAAACCAATATCAAATTTAGAAGTGACTGTGTCCCGGTTTCAGCTGGGACAGTGTTAATTTTCTTCCTAGTAGCTGGTATAGTGCTGTGGTTTGGATTTAGTATGGGAATAATGTTGATAACACCCTGATGTTGTAGTTGTTGCTAAGTAGTGTTTACACTAAATCAAGGACTTTCCAGCTTCCCACGCCCTGCCTGGTGCACAAGAAGCTGGGAGGGGGCACAGCCAGGACAGCTGACCCAGACTGGCCAAAGGGCCATTCCATACCGTATGGCGTGACGCTCAGTATATAAGCTGGGGGAAGAAGAAGGAAGGGGGGGACGTGTTTGGAGTGATGGCGTTTTGCCTTCCCAAGTAACCGTTATGTGTGATGGAGCCCTGCTTTCCTGGGGATGGCTGAACACCTGCCTGCCCATGGGAAGTAGTGAATGAATTCCTTGCTTTGCTTTGCTTGCATGTGCAGCTTTTGCTTTACCCATTAAACTGTCTTTATGTCAACCCACGAGTTTTCTCACTTTTACTCTTCTGATTCTCTCCCCCATCCCACTGTGGGGGGAGTGAGCGAGCAGCTGCGTGGTGCTTAGTTGCCGGCTGGAGTTAAACCACGACAGACTGCAATCAGGAGGCAGGACTAATGCTCTTTCTCCTTCTTTTGCTCATTAAGCAAACGCTTATTGTCCATTTTTCTGAATAAAGCTACAAATTTTGTTGATTTCAGGATTATCTTTTCTTCATCCATGTGCAACACCATATGTTGCAAGCACTCTCTCTCCTAATGGCATCCTGTGGACAGGACTCTTCCCACCAGAAGGCTCTTCTGGAGGCTCACTTCTTCCAGGGCTTACAAAACACCTGCAGCAGCTTCAGGCACACTCATCTCCCTGCTGTGCTTAGGTAATCATGGTCAGCCATAACCACACTCCGCTTTCAGACACGGCCTTGCCTCAGAGAGACTCTGCTGAGCACAGCCTTACTTGGTTCCCCAGGCCCAAACAGCTCAGGGACGGGTCTCAGGCTGCCCCCTCCCCTGCCTGCCCTTCCTCAGCTGGCGGTGGCCCTTCCAGGTGTGCTGGGTACAGCTGATGGCCATGCCTGGCCATGCCACTAATTGCAGGGCTGAGGCAGTCTCCTTGGGGAGTGTAGGGTCATATGTGCTGTGGCAGTAAGGTTACAGTACAGTGGAGGCTGACCTTTATTATAAATAAAATAAGAGCCTTGTTTGGATACCACTGTAATTCAGGTTCTCCTTGAGAAGCAAAAGCTGCTCAGCTACTGATACAGTCTGAAAATGATTGAGCTCTCCACGCAGTAAGGGCAGCCTCCTTCCACCAACACCCAGAAATAGCACTGGGGATACGTGTTTTTTCCGGCTAAAAGTTTACATTGTTGGGCAAAAGTGGACTGGGATTTTCAGCTAAAAAATCAGAAAATGTAAGGAAAGCAGATGTTTGGTGATAGAGTTGTAATCGAAGGCACTTACTTGGCTCTGCGATTTAGCTTTGTGAATCAGAGTTTTCCTTCTGCTTTTGTGTCTGTCTGGATGGACACAATGTGATACCAAACAAGCCTCAAAACAGACACTGATTAATATTGAAACAGAGGCCTGAGCATGTAACAAGCTGGTCCTGGCTGATGTCAGTGACTTCAAGGGGGAACTGGGACGCTCTTTGCTCTCTAGCCCAATATATGCACAGAGCTGGTGCAGGCCTAGAACACAGGAATGACCGTGCTGCGACCAATAACATTTATTTCTATATTTAGGCTGATTACTTACCCCTTATGCTTCACAGAACTTTGGCCATGAGAACAGATTGAGTTGTTTCACAGTGAATTTTAGCTTTTCTTCTTGGCACAATCGCAGACTCATGCTGCTTTTGTTCTGCTCCCTGCTGGGGATGAGTTTTCCATCCAAATTAATTCATCTGCATTTTAATTTATAAAATCATATTATGAAAGAGGTTTGGTCAAAGTGTTCATTTAAGCCCACATTCTGTGCTGAAAATACCTAGTTGTCTATGCTTTATAAATGCATAGAAACCTTCTTCCATAACTCAGTCTTCCCCTAGAAAATATAACACCACTACCTAGTAAGAGTTGTCCTACATGATAGTGGCAGACTCCCCTATGTAGTTTTCATATACTTTCAACTAACTTGGAAGAATTTGTAAAAATAGTTAGTATCAAAGTTATTGGATGTGTGTAAGTGAGATGCATCTGGCTTCCTTCCCTGCCTGTCCGCCTGTTTGTTCACCAGCGGGCTACCCTCACCCCAGTTCTTGCTTGTGCTGGAATTGGCTGGTGAGGTTGGCAACATCTCTGCCCGATGCCCAGGCCACCCGTACCAAGTATCTGTCTCCCCAAGGCCTTGGAAAAGTCATTTCCCTAAAGTGGGAATGACAGACCTTCTTGCTGGAGTACTGGGAGAATAACTATACCAAAGAGTACGAGAGGCCACGGGACAGGTGTTAGCAAGAGCGCACCAAGCCAGACCTGCAGAAAAAAGCCCTGTTCTGTCAGACCCTCTGCAAGATGTCACAGGGGAAGGGCACCTTATTTACAAATCGGGAGCCACGATCTGATAGGTGAGCAATGGGAGTTGGGGGAGACCAAACTCATCCAGGACTTTTCTCTTGCTGATATAACACCCTTCTCACACTGCTTCTTTTTTCAGCCAGACTTTCTACAAAACCAAAACTTGCTTAATCATGTCCACCCATCTTCGCTTCCCTGCATCCCCTTTTCCTCTTGTGAACTGACCCATCAATTACAATCAAATCAGACACCTGATCTCAAAGACTAAGATCCCCAGAAGCTGGGAGGAAAATCACCAGCTAAGGAGACAAGTTCAAGCAGCACCCAAACTGACAAAGTGAAGGCAACTTGCACACAGCAACATCTGCCCTGCTGCACAGCTGGCTGGCCGCTGAGCACACACAGCACATACTGCCTCCTGCCTGGCTGGGAGCAGGAGGACACGGGCAGAAGAAGGGGGAGGAAGAGAGGCAATAACGATGCGATGAAGCCAAATTATAGGAAACCTGGTGTCCCTAGCTCTGCTTCGCACTGAGAAACTCGTCTGTTTTTTATTCCAGGTCAACCAGACACAACGTGCCATGCGCTTGTTGGAGAAACCGTCATTTTGCCTTGCACCACCACCTCTCCTGGAGATCTGATCCTTTCCAAGTCAATGCTCTACTGGCAGATAGACTCTGTCGTAGTGCACTTTTTTCACAATGGGCAGGATTCGCTGAAGTCCCAGGACCAACATTACCATGGCAGAACTAGTCTTTTTTTGGACCAGATGAAGCATGGCAACTTTTCCTTAAAGCTCTCCAATGTCCAATTACTGGACACAGCTGTATATACCTGTATCTACAAACAGACTGGGGATCATCCCAACCAAACACAGAAATCTAAAATTAAACTCCTTGTATCAGGTAAGATTTATTTTTAATTCGGAGGGAGGGAGTTGAGGGCAACATTTCTTGTTGACAAGCCATATATGGCCATTGGCTGGGATGACTTCAATTTTTAAAGCAAATCTTCACTCAGTTTCACTCTGTTCCTTGCTTCTGCTGGAAGAATAAATGAGAAGGGAAAAAAAAAAAAAAAAAAGCATCTTTGTTAAGCTTCAGCACAGCATATCCACAGAAGCAACAGGACTCCTGAAGGCAAGCCGCCCACCTCTTGCCCCTGCCTTTGCAGGAGATGTTAATGAATAACGAGCTCTCCCCGCCTTTTAAGCATTTGGTTATTTATGGTTTTGTACTGTCCCTGATCCACCTTGTCCCAGAGGAATGGGTCTGTGAGGCAGGATTAGATTCATCTCTGGCAATTGGATCCAAAGTCCAGGCCACATACCCTTTCAGATGTAAGACAGGCAGTTCTTAATTACCTTTTCCCTTGCAGCTGGAAGATCTGGATCTGGTGGCAAGGCTGGACACATACAACAAGAATTATTATTTTTCTTCCTTAGGAAAATGAGTGAGACCATAACACATGCTTGAATAATGGCAAACAACTGAGCTAACGTGCTTGAATTACCTTCAAGCATGGCCAGCAGAATGATGGGGCATTGGGTTTGACCTGTTGACCAAGTGAAAAAGGAAATTAAAAAAGGGGGACACAGGTCAAAACAAATCATAGTTTTTAAGGTCTCTTGCTTGAATACATCAGCTGGAAGCTTTCATTATGGTCAACCATGCACATTTAACTCTGCTTAAAATAGAAAAATTTTGTTTTCAAGTAATATAAACCCTTTAGTATCTTTGTTTTAATGCACATTGTTCTCAAGAGAAAAATGTTTTTAAAATGTAAACTGAAACACTTTTGTTCAGCAAATTTCAAAGTGAAATGTTTTGCAGTTTTCAAAATGAAAAAAAAAAGTGTTTTGAAAATGCAGAATCAAAATGTTTTCATCATCTAATTTTTGGGACCAGTAAGGTGTCTTTTCCTCTGATTTAATTCTGTGATCATATTTAAACTTTCAATTTGTTTGACCAATGTATTCTTTCTCAGAAAAGACCACTAACCCTTAGATCAATTATCAGTACCCTTTTTCTGTTCTAGGCTCAAAGAAATAACTTTGATTATTGTGTTTTTTTCCAGCTCCATCTAGCACTGAGGAGGCTCCTTCCCCTTCTGGTAAAGCAATACTCCTTAACCTGCTAAGTGTCTAAGTGATTGATTATCCAGTCCTTTAATTTGAATTTGCAAGATTGGTAAAATGTGCTGAATAGAGAAAGTCCAATAGACTTACGGTGCTTGTGCTCTCTTACTAAGTCTAGCAAAATACAGCTGTCCCAGACAGGGAAAAATATCTCCACCACTAAGACAGACCTAGACTGCAGACAGAAGAATACTGAAGTGCCAACAGTCACTAGTTCATAAAGCTACTCACCATTATGGGCATCATAAAAATCAATAGAAACCAAGTAACATGGAAGCCATTCGGTTCTGGGAGTTAAGGCTTTTGTAAATTACCTTGGTATGAATGAACTACCAGCTCAAGAGATATGGAGGGTCCTTTGGGTAAATAAAATGATAAATATTCTAAAAATGCATGATTAATGACTCCACATAAGTTCTTCTGGGAAAATTACAGTAGATCTTATCCAAAGGCAATTCTGAAGCATAGCGCAGATGCTAATGTCTAGGTTTAATCATTACAGAGAAGTAACTACATTAGGGTCATTTGTAAACACTTCTGGAGTGCATGCAATACAGAAGGGCTGCCCAGCTCTGACATGCCATTGTCAGTAAATTCTCCCATAAAAATCCTGCTTATAAGCCGAATTATTCATATTAACTCTACAAAATCTTAAACTGATATCAAACCTGCGACACCTTGTCATATAAAAATCAATAGCTGCGACTTGTATTTTACTCAATGTAGCTGAAAGATATAATCCATTACATAATAATTTTATTACAGTTAATGTAATAAGTTCAGCACAATACAATGTTACAGCCAGATTAAGCAGCAATAAACTCCAATAGAAACTAAGGAGGAGAAATGTTCCAGTGTTTTATCTCATGACCACACAGAAAAAATCAGCTCTGTACTTCATGAGCAATAAACAACTTGAAAAATTACAGAAATATCCTTTTCAGACCTAAGATAACTCCTCTAGCTGGCTTAAAGGTCTTTAAAAATCATGAAGTTAAATTCGATATGGCATCATGTGCCTTCAGTGACACAGCACCACATTATAACATTATAAAAGCAAACAGAACAGGAGCTAGAATATCACTAGCTGTTACCTTTCACAAGAAAGAAATTATCGAGGCTGAAACTTTTTAATGCAGTAGCAATGAAGTTTCTCAAAACGAAAAGGTAAGTAGGCTGTATTTAAAGGAGATAGTTGTATATATGTTTGACTCAGCCAAAAACTTTCTGACAGCTTTTCGTCAATATAAACTATTTCTTTACCACGAAAAGCTATTTTCATTGGGAAAAAAAAAAAGTGATTGGGACAAGGGGGAGTGTTTCAAGTTTGCTATAGGAGAACAAACTGAATCACACACTTCAGACACCTGAAGGTTCTTGTACTGCTGGATTTTGGGGAGCTTGGGGATGGAGGAAAAAACAAAAGCCTAACTTTAGAAACATAATTTCTTGCAAAAAGGAAAACTATTTCCTGTTGTCAATTACTTGTAAAGAAAATCATTGGCTGCCGCTCCCATTTTTTTTTTCTACTTTCAGCAATTTCTTAAGAAAGGGAAGAAAATAATCTGTTTTGTATTAGTTGTTATTTTGGAGGGGACTTATTCTAAGTTAAATGACCTGCTGAGAACAAGGACACAATTTCTGCGTGCAGAAATAGTTCTCACACTTTGCAGTCATCATAACCAGATCAGCAGGTATTTAATATTTTTATATGAAACAGAAACAGTTTTGATCTGTTTTGCTTCTGCTTCATTTCTGTTTATTTGCTGGATTGATTATTTTTCATAATTATTTTAAAGACCCTAATTTTACTGTCACTCTTGGTTTCTGGCAAGACTCCTTCTGGGTCAATCAGAACTTGTTTTAAGTTTTTTTCTGGGAAAAATGAAAGTGCCTAGGCCTGGAAGAGGTCACAAGAGGCCAGGAGACTTGCTATAATCCTACATTTACTTCAAAGAGTTACTGAGAACTACCCAGAGTTTACTTGCTCTTTAGATGTTAATACCGCATACTGCTTCTAGGAAGAGAGGGAGGAAGCACCCCTACCAGCGATAAGTTAACTGCAGCAACGTACTTAAAGCTGATACCACAGCAATAGAAACAGCCTAAGAACTCGTACAGAAAACAATATACAGCCTAATCTTCCCAGAGAAGGACTTGGATCTAAACACTTACAGGAAAAATTTCTCTACTGCTTAGGTCAGGGGTTCAAAATCTTTTTTTACTTGTGTACTACATCCAGCATGGGTTGCAGGTACCATCTGTGGCAAGGGTAATCTGTGCCCTGTGCCCATTGTGCCTTACCCACCAACAGTGGTACACAGTGCTGCTACCACCTAAGTGTCTGTGGCCTGGACTTTATAATACTTATTACCATTATTTATGGACTCTTAATCACAACACCTACCTCAGGCCCCGAGTAGGTAGAATGATGACATATTTAATACTCTTTTAGTTCTTGTTGTTCTATCAGGATTTTAAACAAGTATTCTCAGTCATCCAGAAAAGGAAGTTGTATTCATTGTTGCTGAGTGTCTCTGTGTTTTCTGTGAAGGATTAAAAATGACTTGTCACAGTACCTTGAAACACGTTTTTCTGGATGGTACACACACAGAAAAGGAGAATTTTGAAAATGAGCCAAAATCCACATGATTCTACAAACAATCTTCCATCAATGCATTCCTGTAAAATATATCACACAAACTCCAAATACACTTCTTGTCAAGCCACCAGTTACATGCCAACTTTCACTTTTTTAATTTTTGCAGGACACAGCCAGATTTCCTCCAGAAGCCCTGCTGACGTGCCGTGTCTGGCTATGCTTCCCTTCTCTTTCCACCTCCTGGTCACACTGGCAGTTTGGCACTTGTAACTGGGGAAGCCAACCTTCTCTTTGGGAAGTTCTCCTCACCAGAGGACCTTGCTGGGCAGAACAGCTCTGTAGTGTTAGCGTTGACAACTGTTCCAGAGCCACATGAAAGAAACACCAATAGCTGAAAACAGACCTAGCACTAGGTGTTCATGTCCCGCATTTTGGTGTTCCACAAAACGAAAGGCACAAAACTCAGAGGTGGCAAGTCTGCTTTTTCATTTGTTTCTTGGAGCCCAGTTTTAGTTCTGCTGGTATGAACATTTTATTTTGGATTTTGTGGTTTTGCTTTAACGACAGGATAAAAGACTCACAAAACTACAAGGTCACATTATAATTGACCCTAGTGAGATCTTTTGCCCGCTGTCCTTCAAGAGAATTGAAAGGAGGAGAAGGGGTAATTACCCTCTGTGTCAGATAAAAACTGGAAGTAGGAAGACACTCGCATTTTGTGAAATGTAAGGATGGAAACCTTGTGAAACTTGAGCCTGTGGAACTTCAGCTTCTATTTTTACTCTTAAGCATCACGGGCTATCTGTAACAACTTTTTTTCCACAAGAAATGTAGTATTTCTTCAGCGGAAGGGTGAAGCTGATGGAGAAAGATGATGGAAGTTCATCAAACATCAAAACAGGGGAAGGAAGTGATGTATTATTACAAAACTCACTTCTAAATAAGCCAAAAGCTTTGGAAGGCTGAATTCAGTATTTTCTCTTTTTGTCATGAAACACAGCAAGGTAAATGTGATCATTGCACCAAAGCTGGATTCTTAAGCTAGAACTGTGAGAGAAGAAATTGTTACTGTGACAATGTTACTTCTTTAAAAACAGCACCTTTGGAGGAAACAAGAATAAAAAACTGGTCAGAATAATTGTAACTGATACCTATGCAAATTAAACAGGTTTAGTTCTGGAAATGTTCAATTCAGGTAGCATAGATGTCCTGTGTAAAACTAAGATTGAAAGGATCGTGTACACCAAGAGTATCAAGAAAGTGCAGAAGTTTTGTTTCAGGCCAGAGCTGCTGCAGCCGCCCTATTACAGAACTGAGGAGCGCCTGGAGAACTGCTCACCGGGGCTGGTGAACAGCGGTGACTGTAACGCACTCCTGGCTGAGCCCTCAAGCAGAGGGAGGTGACTCATAAGGAAGTACATAAAGATGTTTTGATTTGGAACAGTTCCACCCTCTTTCCAAAGGAAAGACAGGATTGTTTTTGCAAGGAGGGGAACAGAATAGAACAGAGCTTAAAATGGTATCCATTGAGGTAAAGGAGATAGTTATCTTTGACTTTCTTAACAAAGGGCCCGTTCCCCATGGTGGGGAAGAGAGACAAAATCCCATGCACAGCCTGTGCTGCTGCTGCAGTGAAGCTCAGTCGGTACTTAGGCTACCCTGGGTACAGAGCAGCTTAGCGTAACAGCTGGGGTCCCACTTCACAGAGATTCAAATGTAAGAATTGTACCTACTGTGACTGTCTTTTTGTGTCCTACCCTCCAAACGTTTGTCTCAGATTCCATGTATTTTTCAAAACAAACGTTGATGAAAAATAAAAACCTAAAAAAAAAACCCTGATGAGAGCAATTGCTTGGTCTCCAAGAATTCTTTATTTGTATTCCAGTTGTTCCTACAGTTCGCTAGGCTCTCTGTGCAATCAGAAAGTCCAAAAGGTGGCATCTATACAGGTCTGTTGGTCCCAAAAGTCTGAGCTGCTTGCCCTCATCTCAAGGACTGTATGACTTCTAAAATCTAGTAGCCACTTAAGCAGCCCTCCACTTTTCAGAAGGTGTTGAGGCACACGAACAGCATGAGCACGTCCACTCACACATGCAAGCTGTGTGACTATATAGCTGCATTTCTTGGGCAAGCAAATGAATAATTACTTAAATACCTTTATGTGGCCATGCAGGGCTAGAACAGAGACTCGCTGCTGCAGAGAGGGACGGCCCAGTCGTACATTTAAGAGCAGGTACTGTGCTGGCTGGTGCCTATGAGGAATGCCCAATTCCCTCAGCCGTCTGCATCTTTCACCCTCAGGAGTGATTCTCCCTGCCTGCGCAAACTGGCAATGAATCACAGTAAGCACATGAGCAGATGAAGGTAGGAGGAATGAAGGGTGGGGGGAAGAAGACCAGATGACCTCTAAACGTTGCTTACAACCCTAATTCTTTATGACTCAGATTTGCAGCAGCACTTGGGATGTTTAAACGTCCCTGTTTATTATATTTTCCCAGAGCTGTAGTTAATGCCATCCCCAGTAGTAATATACAACCGCCATTCCGATTTCCCAGGAGGCTGCAAGCGAAGGTTTGAATGACTAGCAGACCTTGATTTGCCCTTCCTTGCCTGGGTGATGACACAGCAAGTGTCTGTCTTAAAGTTCACTCAATGTGCAGAACACGAGCAGCATATAATTCCTGTTTTCCAGACTTTCATCGTGAATGAGAGGGAGAGCTTTGAAAATGAAGGAGCACAAAACCAATTCACACATTTAAGGAGGACTCTCCGCTTCTCTCACTTGTAGTACCTTGGTGGCCCACGCCTACGTATTTCATACGGCAAGAGCACAGGCTGATAATCTGCTACATTAAAGAAATTCTTAAGAGATCCTTGCACATTATTCTTGCAAAAGAATGGCTGTAAAAGCAAGTTCATTTTTTAATGTTTGACACTGACACTGGTAAGAGACAAAAAGGAGTTAGTTTGCTCATCTTGTAGTTTATTTAAGTTTACAGTGAGGTCAATTCAACTGGTTAATGCTTTTTGCTGAGCTCCTTTCAGTTCCATATGATGTGGGAGAAATGGCCCATGTAGATCATCATCAAGAAATGAACGTAATACATTTGATGCAGAATTTTCACCGTTATTTCAGCTAAGTCTGACAGCAGTCATTCATATAGCATGATACTCAGCAGTTGAACAAAGGGTACTGAAAAATACTGAAAATAAGCACGGAAGGTGATTATTTTTAAATATGCAACAGGAAATCGTGTTGCTATGGGTAATGCAATCCTCATTGTAACTTCTGTTTCAACTTCTGAGATTGTCCAAGTTTGGTCCCTTCTCTTCCCCTCTTTATCTCTTTCTGCAGAGATTCAGACCACCACTGAAATCACCTTGGAAAAGATAACCAAATATCAGTTCCTTAGTTATTCTGAGGGCTAAGGCTGACCCATGCAACAAGCAAGCTTCTCCTCAGCCACTGTAAGCCACGGGAAGGAGGAAGAAAAACAGCTCAAACAAAAGACTCAGGCCCTGGAATGCAGGCAACTCTCAATTATTTGCAGATGGAGGATTATCTACGCTCCCACTCCCAAACTATATATGTATACACACACATACAAGATACTGCTAGCTTGCAAACACACAGACCCTTGAAGAAACAGTGTGTTTCCTTCCAAGAGTATTTCTTGACCTAATAGAAGTCCCTCCCCACCAAACCTTGATTTTAGGTCACCTTGGCTATAATAGCATTATTATTTAAAAACAAACCAAAACAAAACCAAAAAGCAAAAACAGAACCCAAAACCAAAAAAGCCCCACTGTGTAATTTTATGACTTTATACTATACTTTTTCTCATTTTTCAGTGATAATTATCACAGGAAGGGTTTAGAGCTTAATGTAAGTATGTTTGATATCATACCTTCAGGAAGATAAATAAGTCACTGTGTTGAAGAAATGAGTCTTAACAAGACAGCGGGACAAATGCATTCATTGCAATGGAATCGGATTTCCTATTTATTTTTGCTAAACAAGAAGGAAGCAGTATTTGTTTGATTCCCTATATGCCTCCAAAATGTCAACACAGAAATGTCATACAGAAAACAACAGCTGGAACATTGTGCCCGAGTAAGTGAAAACCTGCACAGGACACTGTTCACAAAGTGCCCCCTGCCGGCATTTTATTAATCCGAAACGTGTCTCTGTGGTAGCCGCAAACCGAAGGGTAAAAACGAAAAGTGCATCTCAATCCCTAACTCTCATTTCTGCTTTCAGAAGAAAAAAGCACCGCTGACAAATCTGTGAACACTGCAACAATCCGCAGAGAAACATTTCATAAAATGGTTTTTGTGTGTAAGCAACAATGAAGGCAAAATGGGGCAGGCAGAAACACAACTGAGAGGTAACAACTCCTCCCCACACCCCACAAGTGAACCCCATCACGTCACTAGAAAACCAACACAAGCAGAAGGGGCATTTATTACCACTCCCTTTCAGTAGGACAAAGTTCTTCAGTGCTTTCTGAAGATGAAAAATGGCAGGATCCATAAGCCATATATTGCATGCCGCCTTGTGGAGGCTTGAAGAATACGCATTCTTTCACTTCTTATTTCTGATGGCATTTAACAAAACATATTCATCATAAAGTTCTGTCCACTTGGCTGAAACTAGCAAACCCCTCAGCAGCTCCAAACAGCCCTATGGAAGGAAAGGAAAAACCCAGCTTGGCAGACAAATGTCTCTATTAATGCACATGGAATTTCCCTCCAAATTCACATTGGCTGAAAGCCAAGATGACAATCTTACATCTTCCACCAAAGTTAAAAGATCTTCTGTTAATAAAAAAATATTTTAAAATGCGTGTAGCAAAGGTCTGTACTCGGCACATTGCTGTGGCATTAGAGAGAATAAAAAAAATTAAAGGCACTTCTGGCGCATGCTTCTTTCTCCTTCAAAAAACTTTAACTCTGAATGATGGAAAAAAAGAAGGGTAAAAAGATGCTCTAAAATGTGATTATTTCTGAAAATAAAATTTTGTCTTTGATTTCCCCAGTGCGTATCCGTTTGTCCCATACCCACCAAATGCCCAGGCTTCCAGCACTGACAACACTGTATGGGCAGCTTGCTTTTTATAACTACCTTGAAAAATGTTTCAGGCCCTGAGGAGGAACTGGTTCCTTAGTTACTCTTGTTACAACTCACAGCCCTAGCCCTCAGTCACTGATATCGAGACCATCATTTTAGAGTATTGCTGTTATTTAGCAAATGAGATGTCATGTCAAATTAGGTGAGCTTTTCAATTTGCATACTTGATTCCAAGCATGTGTTACTGTGATAATCCAACCTGGAAGCCACCAGGTCAGGGATCCACATGACCACTGCGGCATCTGCTTAGAAAGGTACACAGTAGATTATTTGGGTATCTGGATTCAAGAAAGAATGTCAGAGGACTGTAAAAAGAGGCAACATCTGGATGATCTTCCAACCAACTTGCAACAGCTGGTCACTGCGTAATAACAGCAATTGCCTCAAAAAAATCTTTTTCCTCAGGACACCTGAATCTAAGATTCAGAATCTAAGAAAGCTTTATGCCACCCCAGCTGTGCTTACTAGGAACTGCAGATATGAGAAACCCCAAATACATACACACAACCGTGCTGTGGTGAGGGGAGCCAAAGGAAAGATTTAACTCACGGTTCCTGATGGGAAGAGTTGAACTCAAATTACATCATTCTTACAGCAGAGGAAGGTACTGCTAACACAGGCAGCAGCTGTTCTCCCTCTACTCCAGGGATTTCAATACCATCTCTGTTCAATGATACTTTATGTTACCAAATTTCTTTTAAAACTCCTGCAGACGTAGGAAAGACACATTTTAAAATGTCACTACATTTTATATAAATAATGACCTCCCACACTCTGCTAAGCCTCTGTGTATAAAATTGATATTAAAAACATCCACTTTCATACAAGCAAAGCTTATGGAGGAAAGTCTAATTACACACAATTACACAGTGGCAGTGTTTTAAATTCTGTTTCTTACCAACTTGGTACTGAAAATTTCATACAGAATTTGATGCACAAGCAAAAAGAGTTTCAGAATATGTTCAAAATCCACTTTATGAACCATGCCTGCTACCATGATGACTTGGTTTCCGTGTATGATCTCTTTGTAACCACACTGGAGTTGGCAATCTGCACAAGAGATCTCTATGAAATCTCCCAAGAGAACAGCATCATCTTTGAAGAACAAATTCAGATCTTCTAAATCCAAACATGATTTTTTTTTTAGTGACAAAAAATTAATCGCATACTAAGAGGCTCCAGAATCAAAAACACTTATTCCATGAACACTGATTGAGCAAGCTGAGCATGCCCACCACTCATACTCAAGCTTCATTCCTCCTCTTTGGTCCCTCCAATAAAAAAATCATTCCACATCCCTAGCAAGTCTTCAGCCACAGATGTTATTTACCGTACTCCAACCCAATCTAAGGCTTGTAGATTTCATTTATGAAGCACACAATTCTCCCTTAAAAATATGGGTTCTCTTCAGCATGTCTGTCACATAAAAGGAACTTTAATACAAGGCAAGGGGTGTCTGTTTGTTTGTTTGTTTGTTTGTTTTGATAAATGTTGCTTCCTGCAGAACAGAAAGGTGAGAAGCGGGGAAGGAGACTCTGCTGGATTCTATATGAAAAAGATGTCTCAAAGACGTGAAGATAACTGAAAAGCAGAAAAACTCCTAGAATGTATCAACCAGTGTAAATTACCAAGGGCAGCTGTCAAACAAAAGTGAAGGGACAAGGATAAGATAAAGGCAGAAGTTAATTTATTTATACATCATTATTGCAGACATTCAATATTTCTTTGGAGAAAGCTTTATTACCCTAAAGCAGGGAAAGTGCGGATAATTTGAGATTGTTTTTTCCATCCACTACTAGTCATGCAACTACTTTAACATGGATATTACCCTTAAAAATCGTGCGTCACATCAGTGGATATTTTCTCCTTCATTTCAAGACCTTTTTAGCTATAATGGGCCAATGGATTAATTTTTCGAAGTGCTAGTGTTGAGACAGTTAAGATGTATCCTGCTGCTGACTGATATTCAGAATGGCTCCTTTGTGAAAACACAATTCTTTGAAATGGAAAAACAAAGTATTAATCTTCTAATTAATACCAAGCTAAAATTAGAATGTGGAAGATGTCTATTTCCCTTGACAGCTGATCCTAGCTTTTAGTTCACAGATATAGGCCTGAGCACATAAACCTTGAACCACACACTAATTCCTCTCTAATACCATTCTTCTTCCACTAGATATACTGCTACTGCATCTGCTATGGCCCTACAAGACATGTGCCCTCTGCTCCTGAAAGGGCCTTTAGTTTCTTTTTGCCCCCATAGAAATGATTTGACACTGGTGCACCGGGAGGACTGGTTTCAGAACAAGTTTGCACAGGTCGCTCTAGCTGAAAAAGCTCAAGAAAATGCTCTGTGTCTCAGGCCAGACTGCTTGTACTCTATAAGCCCTTCTGCAGGCCCCTCTCTCAGAAAAGGCATGGAAAACCCTGCAGCTGGGAATCAATCAGCTCCATATCAGCATTCACTGGAGTATGAACAGGACAAGCAGGTGAAAAGGTTTCCATTGGTCCATATCATATTTGATACTACACCCTAAATTTGAACATTTCTGAAGTTGTATTTTTTTATTTGCCAGTTAGTTTTAGCACATTCTTTACCATGGCCCCAATGCCATCGAAGATATTATGTAATTCTGTTTCACACATAAATGCTGGGGTAGTCACCACCTTGTTTTTTGTATCCACATGAGCTTCGTAAAAGGGAGTTAAGGAAAACACAGCCTATGTCTCACTTGCAGATGCTGTCTGCAACATAAACCCTCTTTGACAAAACCTTACAACTCCACTATCCTATAAAAAAAACCCCCACCTCCAAATATATTACACTGTCCAGCTGTAGACAGCTGCAACCTATAATCCAAGATACTAGAGCTACTTTTGCCAGAAATACAAAGACTGCAAGAGCAATCTGTGGGAATGCTGGCACTCAGAAACACAAGAAAACCTACGAAACTTACTGACTGTAACAAAAACGTCCCTGAGTACAGTTCGGTCACAGCATCAGCCTTCAGGAAAAGAAAAAAAATCTCAAAGAGAACTGACCAAAAGTAACTCATGCCAGTTTTATATGCAAATTTACTCAGCATTTACTCAGCATTTACTGCATTACCAGGTGTCCAAGGGAGTTCTATGGCAATGACTAAGAATGACTTCTAACTACACAGCTGTGTACAGAAGACCATGTTTTCTAATAATGCACTGTATTACATGCTATCTGCTATACACTGTATATTCCCACTAAACCCTAAGTGGAAAAGCATAGATCCTGCATGTATTCATTACTGTAACAACACATTACTAAACTGTCTGTCAACATGAAATTAACAGGAAAGGATATAGTTACTTCTTTCACACAATGCTTTCCTCCCAGTTCTTTAATGGCTCCTGCAGTCCCAGCATAAGGCCACTTGCCACCTTCCTCTTCTTCATGGCCCACAGTTACTTCAGCACCAGAGAGAACCTTTGCTGCCAACACTGGTGAAATGCAGCAAAGACTGCAACAAAAGGAATTTTAAGAGCGATTCTACGACGGCACTCTTTCAAAACGTGGTCATAATTGAAAAGATTCAAACGGACATGGTCTTACAAAACTGAAAGGCAGCACAAGGCAACTTCCACTCAGCATTTTCTTAGCCTCTTCTTTCACAAACACCTACACACACACACATCTTGAAAAACACGTTTTAAAAAAATAAGCTACAACTGATACAAAACTGAAGATGTTTTTTCTAGCTCCAACAATAACAACTGCACATTTCCACAAAACGTACTTTCTCTCCACGCTCACACTATCAAACAAATGCCCCTCTAACTAACATACGTACCCAATAGGTTTGCCTGCTTTGTGGAAGTCTTTCAAGACACGTTCAACTTCTCTGTTCACCTTGCAATCTTTCCCATCAACAGCAAAGGTAGATCTGCCACAACAAGAAACTTTATACATACCTCAGTGTAAACCTACAAATAGAGATGCCTATCTGCCCTGAGACTGGCTCTTAAGGGTCGTCACAAACTTAATAGCTTCTAAAAGGTGGTTGAAAATGCCTGTAGTTGACCAGCAGTGCTTCAGCCAAAATGACTGACTTCTAAGGCTTTGGTATGTCAGAAAGTTCCTTATCTGATATAAACATCTAGAAACAAGAATTATCAAATCAGCTTTCTGGCATTACTAAGAGGTGGAACAACAATGTTTTCAAAGAAGAAAAATACATAAGGAAAGGGAAATAACATTCAGGTTTCTCAAAGCCAATGAAACGGCAGGTCAATAACAAGATAATCAGTATTCCATGTGGCTAAGACCATTTTTTTTCTTCCCCCCTTTTTTTTTGAGCTAGCTGTTGTTTTATCATTACCGATGCAAGAGGGGACTTTTTGGTAGACAGACAGGAAGAAACAGAATAATAACACTAGGAACACCTGAAACTATTGCAGTTTTACCTTCACTTCCCTCAGTCAGACCCCAAAAGAACCACCACAATGGTGGGGGAGAAAGGACTTCCTGTGCATTAGCTAAACTCCAGAATTCTCACCAACATTGTTCAGAAAATTTAGAATGTGACAATGCCAATAAGAGTTATGACTGGAAACCACCATGAAAAGCGCAACTTAACGCCAACACTTTAAAAGGAGTTTTCCTTATTAAGTAGTGATTACATACTTAGTAAATAAGGCCTTTTATTGCTTCCTGATTTCATTGTGTGAATCACAGTTGATTATGAATAGTTGATCATGAATATTTAGTTGAGGAGTCTAATGCTTAGTTGGCACTCACAAGTTTTTAGCAGCTCCAAATCCACCAGGGAATATCACAGCATCATGGTCTGCTGTAGTAAGCTTAGCCAGGCTTGCAATTTTACCACGAGCAATCCTTGCAGATTCCACTAAAACGTTCCTTGAAGATCCAGAAATAAAACAATGAGATGAATTAAGCATTTGCGGACAGAAGAGCATAAAGAGAATTTTGGCAGAGGAAGAGGAGGGGAGGAAGGGAGGAAGCAAGAAGAACAGTGGTACTAAATAACTGAAGCTATCAGTGCTTCCGAACTACTAGTACTGGGAAACGCAGGCATTAAGAGACTGTATATAATCAAGTCCAGAAAACTCATTTAATATTTTCTCTCCAATCAAAATACCAGCCAGCATAAAGCTAGTAAAGCCAGTCAGCAAAGTGCTACAAGCACAGTTACAGGCTGCTATGTCTGAAGAATGCTTACGAGACTAACACTCGGCAGCCACAGAAAAGACATTAAAGACAGACTTTACCTTGACTCAGCTTCAGCTGGTTGGCCTTTACTGTGGTCAATGACATGCATCTGAGGAACATCTGGAGCATACATCTGAACCTCAGCTCCCCCACGACTAAGGTGTACCAGTATGCTACAAAAACAGAGATAAAACGTGCTGAAAACCTTAGAAGAGAGGCTTTATCTGGCCCCTGAGTCTTGCTACAAATATTCCACCACCTGATTTTGAAAGAAGAGGAAAACCACACATCCTACCAAAGCATACTGAGCACATAGCAGCAAAATCCCTGTACGTAACACCAAAGCGCAAAGCAGAACAGAAAGTTAATTTGGAGGTAGGGTCAGGTAAGCTAGATACAAGTTTCTTTGTTCGGTGCTCTTATGCAGGCAACCAGGAACAAGAAAAACTTCCTTTCTCATTGCAAGTCCCCAGGTGTTATGGAAGAGTCCCATGATTAGCATACCTATGTGTACCTTTAATCCAGGTCTAGGTGAAACATCTCTTAGCAATGAATACTAAGAGTTAATAATTCGACTTGAGTATTAACAATTCCAGTGTTAGATTTAGCCCCAGGAACTTAAACTCAAAATGATTATGAAGTGAAGTCTCTACTTAACTCTCTTGAGGTTGATTCTGGAACTCTGAATTTCTGTTTCTGAAGGAAAGACAGCCTCTCTCAAACTCACTGCTCTGGCATCGCGTGCAGCATGCTGCATCTTTGGGCAGTCACCAACTACTGCAAGAATGTGGCCTGAGCTCCCAATTATGCTGTGAGAAAACTGTGAAGCTTCATCATAGATCTTTCAGGTCAATTTTGATGGCCAGAGAGTGCAAAACTGAATTCAACGGACTGCTTTAACGTAAAGGAGATTTTTTTGGAGCCTACAGTTTCATAAAGCAACTTACGCCGAGGCCTCATGGATTTCTGTGCCATCGTAAACACCACAACCAGATAGGACCTGCAGTAAGAAAATCAAGAGAATATTTCAGGTGATACAAAACTTTCTACAGGGTGTTTCACGAGCCTTGTAAGATTTTAAAAAAACCCAAACAACAACAAACCTCCCTCCACCCCCTAAAAAACCCAACTTAGCAAGAAGCTCTTTACTAATCCAGTCAACAACATGCTATTAGCACTGGTGCCACCATTTGACATACTGCAGAACTCGCATTTCCTATTTATAGCTACTCATCACACACAAGTCTCAGAAATAACTAGTATTTACTTACTGGCTTGTGCATTTATTCCTCAGAGTTAATAAACTGACATGATATCCTTAGGTCTGTTTTTACTGTGCACACAAAGAGTTATTTTGAGTGTCATACATCTATTTATGAAGTATCCATATCCGTGCGAAATACCTTCTCATCCAGATGCACATCAAACAGAAGCGGGATAGAAGTGCACTTCGAGGTGGCACTTAGGACAAACTATTTTACCTGCTGCTGCATTTTGTCTGAGGATCCGCATCAGAGATAAATAGCTAAATCACTTCTCATCCAATTATGCTATGTTAGCTATACTTTTCCTTATTACCATGGTAATAATACTTTCAGTTTGTTTGTACACACTGGGGAATAAAAAGCACAAAGCAATCAGCTATCCTTGTGTGGGTAGAGAGAGTCTTTCACAAAGTAGAAGCAATGAGAAAAAACTTTTTTAAAATACCCAGGGAAAAAAGAGGTTATATGAACAAAACCAAACCAAAAAAATCCAAAGAATTACCTAGTTCCTGAAAGTATATATGTGAACTCTTGTGGGCTTTTTTTGTTTGGTTGTTTGCTTTTAAAGAAAAAAAAATCCCATTAAAGAGACTCCATTTATTAACTTTACTCTCTTCTCTCCTGGTTTTATCTCAGTTTTTAGAAGCTTGAAAGTTTTTAATCACAGACACATGAACAGAAACACACAACTGAAACTGTCTTAGTTAGAAATGTCGGACTCAAAGGGGCTTTCGGATCACAACATCCAGCCCTCTGCTCTCACAGGCACGACCCTACCATCACTTCACCAAATGAGTAAGGTCCATGTATGTCCTTCTGTCCATGTTAATCCTAACTACAGTTTTGCTGCTCTGATATTTAAGAGCCACCTTCTACTTTCCAACTTTTTATTTAATCTTTCATTTAATTTAGACTGAATAGACATACAAGCAACTGTGCTAAAGTTATTTTCTGTAAGCAACACTTTAAATGTTTTTGAAACTCACTGAAACTAAAGTACTAAACCCACTATTCTCTTGTTATTTCAGTACCTGCTTGGTGACAAATCTGTCTTCTACCATAGTCAGAAATTTATGTCACTAATATCAACAATAACATTTGTTTTCCACTCTCTATTTAAAAAGCTATCGTTTGCTAAAATGACAGCATTCCTGGTAAGTTACCTTTTAGACATCTGGACTGGCCTCCTGCCCATTCCTGAACCAACTCTGCCCCAGATTTCTTCATGCACGTAATGCCTTCTTATTTCTTTACATTTTATGCTCTTAAGACTATACAAAGCTCGAGCTCCAAAGATGGTCCATTGAGCTCCAAAACTCTGTATCCGTTTGAGATGCTATCAACAGCCTAAATTTTCCTTTGGCAACCTGTAGCTCCTCTGCCTCCTCGCTTTCTTGTGTATTTTTAACGTGGTCTACCTCCTTCGTGCTTTAAATTGGGCATAATCCAGTTTAAATATTTTCCTGTACACTGCCAGTACCTCCCCCAATTACACTGTAAGTTATTTCAAGTTCAGTTCCTCATAACTCAACTCCAGGCCAATAACAACTACGCAGAAGCCCGTTTTTACGTGTTTCCCACTCCCGGTCTGGCTTCCTCCAAGTTACTCAATTCTAAACAGTTTTATCTTCTCAATTTCAGCTTCTCCGGAGGCTTCTCAGCTGCCGCCGCCCCCAGGCCAGTCTTCCTTCGGCCCGACGCCCCACCAAACCCTCCCACCACCACCACCACCACCAGCCCCACCGCCGGAGAGAACCCAGCT